AGGGAAAAGAAGAAGAGAGGAGGGTTGAGAAAAAGGGAAAAGAGAGGTGGGGGCAATTAGTTAGAGCCAGGATGACGAGAGGGAATTTTAAGGTGAGTGAGACAGAGAGCGGAGGAAAAACATCGCTAACACTATGACTGATTGCGTATATGTCATCGCCTGGCGGACACTGTGAAAGCATTGTAAAAGCGTTTTTTATACGATGTCTAGGGAAGAGAACAAGTGCTCACTTTCTCTCTCTATGTCTCAGATTGTTGCTTCATACAGTGAGAGGGGGAGGCTCCGTTGCCTCCAGCCTCAGTCTGTGTAAATCATGGCAGGTACGGACACTCAGACACGCTGTGGGTGTGATAATAACATTAGAGGATTACAATGACACTCCTCCCTGGACAAGATCACCTGTCTCAACTGTCATAAAACAGACTGCTGCTTTTTGTGGTTGAAGTGCTTTATATGAGGAGAGTGTGTAAGTGTCATTGTGCATAAAAGGGGTGTGTATGAGCACTTAGGTATTACATCAGTGAATAAATGGAAGAGGCTTGATTATCAGAAACTGTTTACCTGAGTAAGCTTGTAGTATGCAATGACTGATTCTCACAGTTAAATACATAAAATCATTATTTTCAGTTCATGTGAACATCCATCCATCCATTATCTATACGCCGCTTAATCCTCACTTGGGTCACGGGGGGCTGGAGTCTATCCCAGCCGACTCAGGGTGAAGGCAGAGGACACCCTGGACAGGTCACCAGTCTATCACAGGGCTACACTTAGAGACAGACAGCCAAGTATACTCACATTTATGCCGACGAACAATTTAGAATCACCAATTAACCTCAACATGTTTTTGGACTGTGGGAGGAAGCTGGAGAATCCAGAGAGAACCCACGCTGCACGGGGAGAACATGGAGACTCCATGCAGAAAGTTTCCAGGGGCCTCATTTCTCATCAGTGCATAGAAAAGGTTCTAAATTCTTTCGTACCAATGAAAGTTAGTGTGTGTAAGTACAAAAAAATCTGTATTTATCAAATGTGCGTACGGCGGTCGTACGCACATCAGTGTTGATAAATCCCACTTGTTCTTAACGTCCGTGCTCATGCACGTTGCCTTCAGGAACGCCTCCAAATCACCATATAGGGCAACAACAAGCCTCTTTATAAAGCAAGTGAAGATTTATTTTTTCCTCACCTGTCGTCATCATCGTGGCAAAAAGGGCAAAAAAGAGGAACTTTTATGAATCTGAGATCAAGGTAATTGTCAGTGAGGTTGAAGCTAACCAGAAAATATTGTTTAGTGCGTGAAATGTTGAGATAAGCAGCGAAAGAAAAAATGCTGCATGGGACAAGATAACCACCGCAGTTATTCCTGTTGGGTCAGAGGGGATCGCCGGCAAAATTGGTGGTTTGACGTTAAGCTCAGTACCAAAAAAACGCATCACAGCCCATAAAAGAGAAACAACTGCAACTGGAGGAGGACAAATTAATACCGAACGTTCACCCAGTGGATAACCCTGATCACTACAGATGGCATGTTTTAATAATCAAATAAAGTCCAGCTAACATCTCCACACTCTGTGACACTCACCATAAGCCAGCTGTCTTCAACAGCTCCTGCTTGGAGATCCACAGAGCTGTTCTGCTCAATGAGTGAGTCGTGTGTTCCTCCAAGCCACCAGCAACAACATTGGATAGCCACAAATGCGCATCGCAAATTATCTGTACGTTGATTGAATGAAACCCTTTTCTATCTACAAAATGAAGCTTGTTTAGTGATGCTGCTTTGATTGTGATGTAGGTGCTGTCTATGGTTCCACTTATGTTTGGGAATCCAGCGATGGCGTTAAGTCCCCGTTTGATTTGGGCTCATCGGTCAAGACTGTAAGGGAACTGGATGTAGGCTGGGGCCAGGGGAGTTATGGCATCCAACACTACCGGCTTGATCCTGCTCAGTGATGGCTGGAAATGCCGCATATGTCTTCAACCTCATGCTGGAATGTACAGATGGTCAAAATCCCAGAATGCTTTCTATTTGTAGTTTTACTATTCTACCACTAGATTATGTGCGTACGCATGGTCAGAGTTGTGCGTATATTTACGCACATTCCTAAGTATAAGTACAAGTTGATAAATTCCATACTTTGCGTAGGAATGTTCGTACATACACTCTACACACATATCTGTGCATAAGCACTGATGATAAATGAGGCCCCTGGTGTCCTCACCGGGATGCGAACCGGGGATCTTCTAGCTGCGAGGCTCATGTGATCCTATTTCACTGTAATAATTTAATCTTAGGGGCCATTTCATGCTTTTTTTGTGATCTTCTTGACTGTATGTATTGTTATGATGTCAGAGATCTGTATTATACATGACAAGTTCCAAAACTTTAATTAAATACATGTAAATATTTTCATGTAAGCCAAAAGTTCACGTCCAAGTTCAAGTCTGATTCACCAGATGTAGGATGCAGGTACAAGGATGCAGTTAGTCACTCATTTTAGGTAGCTTTGTGACCACTGTCTTCACTACAGGAACAGCACCCTCTGGGCTGGAACTTGCCACACTAAAAAGCTTAAAGTTTTGCTGAGGATTTGGATTGTGCATTAAGACAGTCCTGCTCGTTTTATTTTTTCTTGTATCAGTGGATTATCTATTTTAATGACAGTGCTCATCTCCCTGCATGCAAACAAACAAGCCAGAGTGTTTTTGTTTCTCCTGTGGCAGAATGATACTAATGCAGCCAGACCAATATGTTCAACATAACATATTGCCGTGCCGTTACTATGGATCCAGAAATTTGGATATTTTGCACGTCTTGTTACTGCATACCCTTGTGGAAAAGTCCCTTGCATCTCATTGCCCGTACTGTATAAGCTTGTGATAGATAAAAACTCTTGAATCTTGATGTAATAGGAGAGCTGGATACAGTGCTGCTGCTCAGTCTTACTATGGATATTTCATGCTCACTCACAGTACTACAACAAAAATACCCCCCGCCAAAAGCATTTTCCTTCTTGAATACCAACTCCAAAGTCAAGTTCTATTTTTTGTATTAAGGTTTAATCTATGGAGATTCCATATTATATCTATAAAGGTGAGTTTGATTTTTGTGACGTCACCTCAATGTAAAGTCTATGGGCCAAGCTGGAACCCATGGGCAGGGCAGTTGGAGGAAACACTAATGCGCATGTGCAATGGGTTGTACAAAGTGGAAGCAAATCCAGCAGATAAAAACTGTTGTGGTTCATGTGCAAGATGAGCAATTTAACAACATGGGCTCATCAGGAGGTAGGCCTTAAAGAGTTTCAGACAGAGGTTAAACTAAGGGTCTGCAAAAAGTGGCAATACAAGGTAAAAATGATGCAAAGATATATGAATAGAGTCCCAGAATGAAAATAATGAAAGTTTCATGATATCCCCCCTTTATGTTAAATTGGCTCAGAAAGTGTGGTCAGAAACCATCCAAACACCTTCCCATTTGTAGAAATCTTTTGGGGTTTTGTGATGTACCATGCAGCACTTAACACTTGTGTTGCATAATTAAAACCTTTCTATGTCTTTATTATTGACCCCTACAGAGCAGTATCACCTATTAAGTAGTATCTGAATGTGTTTTAGAAATTGTTGTTGTTTTTGTTTACAGTCAAGTAAAAAAAAAGAAAGAGAATGTGTTTATGTACGACTTCCTGTTTCATTGTTGTGATTGCTATTTGAAAAAGAATCACTGTGACTGGGTGCATTCAAGAATTATGGTCAATGATGTGCATTTAGAATTCAAGTTCACTCAATCAAATCCACATACAAAACTCACTTATCAGAATTCCACAGGTGTCAAATGTGCTGTTACACAACAGTAGTCCGACGGACATAAGTGAAATTTGTCAGATCATCATTTGTTCTTTTCAGATGCTTCAGAACTTGTCTTAAAATTCTCCAGTTTTCAGATTTCCTCAGTATTAAATTAATTCAGTACATCCAATGGTACACAGCAAAAAGGAATTATTCAGATAATTCCAAAACACAAATAAGTATAAAATGAATTTCATGTTGCTGCCCCGGGTCTAATAGACTGTATCCATGGAAACATTTTACTTTCTGTTTCTTGTAAAAGTTTGTTTGTTTCAGTAAAGACTTCAACGTGACATTTTCCAAAACACCTTGTCAAAAAAACCCCAACTGTGTTCAAATTGTGACGTGTTCAAGTTCATATACAACAAACAAGACGGTGCCAACATCACTGCCGCTTACAAGTGCAAGACGTCGGTGAGATCTTGGTCTCCTACCTGTTTTCTTATTTCCTATCTTTGACTTGAGCATAAAATTGAAAGTGTTAAAAAAACAAGCTGTTATTTGTATTTTTGTGTTGGATTCTTAGATTAATAACAAAATAATGACATAGAATTTTGGAATGGTGCACAGATTGTATATGTCAGAGCAGCTATGAACTTTAACGGCCTCACATCCCAAAAACACCAAAGTCACAGTAACCTTACATTAGTTTTTACCCAATTCAAACCCTGGTATTAACTAGTATTTCTGACTACAAAAGGGTGAAAATTCAATATCCAAACGATTTGTGAACAATGGATGTATATGATGGATATAAAGGTGAATAACTTATAACAGAAATGGTACATCCTTTATGACCTCTTCCTGCATTAAAAGAACAGTTTGATATTTTGGGAAATGCACTTGTTTGCTTTATTTGCCAATGGTTAGATGAGAGGGTCAACACTGTTCTCACACTAAACATATAGCTACAGCTAGTTACAGGTTAGTGTAGAATAAATCCTTGAAACAAGGGGAAACAGCTAGTCCAGCAAATTATGTTCTTGGGCTATGTTTTGTAATATTTCCTGATTTTGGGCAGTAACTTTCTGGAGTCCTTGTTGACTGCTGGTCAGCCTCACAGTAAAAAGAGTTTCAGCCAGGTACGGTAGCTCACTTTGATTTTTAAAAAAGCAGCACAATTTCTATGTAAACTGATTCATGCGACTGATTTATACATCAGGCAGTTTAGTAGTAAGCTTAACTGCTGAAAGGGTTAAATGCAAACTCAAAGGTGATACCATATGGTTGTGTTCAAAACCATTCTGTATTGACATGGGTGTATCACAATACCTATGGTGAACATGGTATCCTGCTGCGTTGAGGCTCCACCCGGGCTCTTCAGGGTTGGGTATCTTAGCTGTCCTGGCGATCAGATGCTGAACATCCCTCCACGTCAGCTCAGGACTAGGGCAAGAGGCATAAAACAGAATATCATCAAACGCATTCTTCCTTCGGCCTGTGTTCTACACACACTGAAACCACAGAGGAAACACTTCAACTCTGCATGATACTCTGAAAAGAAACCTGCAGGGAGCTCAACACGGGCTCCAGTCTTGTGCAGAAAGAGGCCGGAGGACTGTTTTATGGGGTTTACGGCACATTTTATCAGGCCCGCATGTGCAGCTTATACTGTATTAATGCAGGGGTTTATTGATACATAAACTGCTGCGATGAGACACTGACATACCTTTAACAGCAGGTCCTCTAAACATAAAAGCACCTATTTAAGTCAGGCTTACATCTTTAATAATGGTGTCACGAAAAACTGTGAATCCAAAAAAGAATATTTGAGACTTTAACAAAAGAGCCTAGAGAGTCGAATGAAGAAAAAGTCTTCTTTTTAATCCCAGGCAGGGGAATTCTAATAGAGCGGACTCAAGTGTCATGTCAAGCAATATACTAATGGAATCCAATTAAGACCTTTAAACTGCGCAGAGAGCTGGAGGATATTAGCTCAGTTTTCTATAACAAAAGACCAAAGGGTCGTCAACGAGGGCTTTTTCGGGATATAAAAAGCATAAAGGAAATTGGGTTTTTCTGCTTTATCCACTCATTATTGTTCCCTAAGAAAATGACTTGAATGGAGTATAAGAAAACCGCTTGGCCACCCATTCTGAACAGCTTTTTTTCTCGTGTTTCTGAGAAGAAATGCCTCTGCTGTCTGCCTCAACATCTGTACACAGACAGTCATTTCTCCAGCGCAGAAGGACAGAATGAAGGTAATTAACGGTGCACTACGCAGTTAGGCTTAATTTTTCCCATCATTAATGACATAACTGCAACACATCAAGCGTGCATTCGGCTTCATGTTAAGGTGTATCTTCATAGTTTTACTCTGCAGTGGAAAAAAAGTCTGTACAGATGTGAAGAAAAAGCCCGAGGAAAGGAAAAAAAGAAAAGTACAAGTAGCAAGTAGCCTCTTCATTATTGTGGTGTTGGGTGTTAGACATCTCGGGAAATATCAGGCACAGATATAAACAGATGTATTCCATTCACGTATTTGAAAAAATGAAGCAGAACAAAAGCGAGGAGAGAAGCTTTCATTAGCAGCACAAAACAAAACCCCGGCAAGCAGCACGAACAGGCAGCTAAAACAACATGATAGGAATAATACCAGTAACACTAATAATAGACGGATAGAATGAAACAAAACACAACGCACAAACAATTATTTTAAGCTTTGATTTCAAAGGGATTGGTTTGTGTGTGTGTGTATGTGTGTGTATGGGGGGGGGGAATAAGCTTTGTACTTTTGAACTGTTGCTGCTCACTGCATGCATCTGTGTGCGTTCTGTATTATATATTAGCAGCAGCAGCGTGATTCTGTTGTGTGCACTCCCCCACCTCTATCATCAGCACCACCACCACCATCACCCCTCTGGTGGAATCAGAGAAAGCCCCGCGGCCCCGGCTGGTTTGCATAAAGCAAACAAAATTAAATTTGCTTTGCTAAATCAAAGCATGTATGGTATTCCAAGCCGCTCTCTCTGGGACAAATTACTTCAAACGGCCTCCTTTGTATCATAACAGAATAAAAAAAAAAATCAGCCCAATCAGCGGCTCTCCAAAACCCTCGACTCGGGAATTAATTATTGAACCGAGGGCTTTTCTCTCTCCTAGCAGTCCGCGACACAGATCTATTTATTTTGGAAAAGTCGTTTTGCTCTTAAAAACACACTGTTGGCTGAGAACACAGTGCTGCTATCTCTCCCTCTCTTTCTCTCGCAGTGTTTTCACTCGTCTTTGCCGTGCAGCCCCTGAAGGGACATGTGAATAGGTTTAGGCCACGAAATTAATCTGAAAAAAACCCCACGACCAGCATCTACCGTAGTGCTGCTTAAACAGAAGTATTGCTTGTGCTGTAATGGACTTAAGATGAACTGAGCTGTTAACTTGTGAGGTTTCTTTCACATAGAGGTGGCACTTTTTTTCCCTGCAAAAGCTCTTTGTATCAAGGCTAAAGCATGTGTTTTCTTCTTTTGTTGGTTTTGGTTTGGTTGTAAGAAAGCAAAAAGAACCCCTATTAAAGTTGAACAATATGACTTGCAGAAGAATCCTTAAAGATGATTTCCAGGCGTAGCTGTTATTTACTGCAGTCAATATCTCTTTAGCAATTCTATTAATTATTTATGACATATCTTTATATTTAATCCAAGCTCCTTTTAGTAGATTTAGAACACCTATTTGGTGACAAACCTCGCTTTATATCTGCTGCTGATCTCACATAAAGAGTTACATTTACCCAAAAGACATTTAAGTGAAAAATGTCTTATTTGTGATGCTGTTGGACTTTTTTGTAGGTCATATGCTTTAAAAATGCAATTTATGTACCAACTTGAAAACATCAGCACAAATACTATTCACTAAATTGATTGAAATAATAAAAAAAGAGGTTTCATTGATAATATGCGCAGCCCGTTGAACCTGATCAGCTGCTGACACTAGTTGAGAATGGAGAGCGTCTCTGACCAGGAGATCCTCATCATGTATTCCTACAAAACAGGCAAAAGTGGCAACTTGTAGTGACAGCTTGCTGCAAAAGATTTTCACGACCACTAACCAGACAATGAGTTAACATGCTTCATAAAAGATTTGTATTAATACCTTCAGGATGTCAATCTCATGTGAATTAGCTGCCTCCTGATTCTACCGCAATGAGCAGAGCCCAAACTTTAGCTCCTTCAAATGCTGGTCTGACTTTAAAGCTACAACCTGGAGTGTTTCATAAAGAATGCTGGACTGATTTCCTCCTGTGACGCACATGAACAAAACATGACAACTCATGCACAGTGAAATGACACAAAAATTGAAATTGCACCAAAAGGAATGGTGTTTCCTGTCACAGATTGGCCCGCTCTGTAGAAGCTTATACAATTATTGCAAAATTACAGTTGCAGACAAAGCCATCTTCTGAAAGATGCACAGCAACACTGGGAACAGAACTGGGAACTGGCTGATCACTGGTCTGCAGGGACAGAGTGCAACCGTATATGAGCATCCTCCAGACCCTTATAGCCGCCATTCCCTCGCCAAGGCTCACAAAGCAGCACAGCAGCCGTCACAGTGAGCACACAACTGTTTACAAATCCCCAGTTAATAGGATCAGGCCTCATTGACTGGGCTGCTCCGATGTGTCTGATGTAATCTATTAGCTGTATGATAGTCAGTGTCTCAATCCAATCGATAAACCTGGGCCTCCATATTGCTCCACTGTGGACTGTTACTCCTCTTTAGTGCTGCTTAGAATGCAGGCTTAGTGACTATAAAGTGCGTGCGTGTGTGTGTGCGTGCAGAGGTTTGTGTCCATCAGTTGTATGAATTTCTGACTTTTAGTGTTATGTGTGTGCATTTGTATGTGTATACAGTAGCTGTAAAACATACATACTGTAGCTGATACTTAGGCAGATGTTAATTCTGTAATACTTTAATGCATGAATGCATGTGGGGATTGCGCGTGTGTCTGTGTGTATTGTGTGATTATGTTGACATTTGTAATAACCATGCACCTATCCACGGGTGTATTACTGTACCGTACATCCGTGCATATGTGTGTATTAATGCGGCTTTACCGTACATGGCGTGTCTGGAAATGCATGCGTGTGTGTGTGTGCTCACTCCGTGTTTGTGTGTAGGAGTGTGTCTGTAGCTGGTGTAACTGGGTTTCCAATTAAGTTGAACCACAGGCTGGATCAATGCTAGTCCTCTGTGTGCAGGAATGAGCAGCCCTGGGCCCTCCGAGCATGCCCACGAATAATTTATCACTCACAGTGGGCCCAGGCAGAGAGGAGGAGGAGGAGGAGGAGGAGGAGGAGGAGAAGGACTGGCATGAGGAGAAGGAGACAGGGAGCGTAAGGACAAAGTGTCCAGCCCAGGGGAGAGAACGCCAAAGATGGGCAATTGAGGAAACAGAAAGATGGAGGGGTGAAGAAAGAGAGAGAGAGACCAGGACCCAAAGGAAAACACTGTCAGCTTTCGATCATTTAGAAGTATCACTCTCCGCATCGTTTTTCCAGTAAACAACCGTCGAAAATGAAATTCTGTACGGAGCACAAGCCACGCGATTCTTTTTACTACTACATACTATGTGTGTGCAAATGTTAAGCTGTAAAGGTGAGTGAAGATATTTTGGAGTGAGAATGAAGCAGGTTATTAATTTTCCAAAATTTGCTTTTGACAAATTTGATATCATCAAGCCAGTGTCATCTGTCTGTGATAGTAAGGGTGGTCCAGTTGATTTTATCACTAACTTATTGTATGATCATCATAATATCTGGATTAAATTTTACTGTCTGTAGTTAATTCATGCCATTTAACACATTATAGCTACTTTACGTTAAGTATATTGTAAATACATATACAATATTCACATCTTTTATTTTTATTACTACTCCACTGGTCTATTATTTCTCCTGTTTTCACTGACTAGTATGGCGATGGACAAATATTTTTTAATATTGTGGTTTTAACATGTCCAGTTTAGTTTATGGCTATGATAGCAACTCTTTAAGTCTGTGCAGTCATGCTTCCAGCTTAATGCTATTACAGCATGATGAAAATGCTAACATGCTGAGCAACTAAAAATCTTATCAAAGTCGCTAAGTTACTACATGAGCATGCTAACATTTTTTAAATAGCATTATAAAGAAATTACAGGTGAGACAAATAAAAATTTAGATTTTTTCAGTCTCAAGTGAAAAATCATGGGTGACATTAAGGTGTGTGCCAAATTTGGCAACCCATCCTGTAGCAGATAATTCATCCCAAACCACAAATGTCAACCCCACACTGCTGTTAAATATAAGACATGTCATGCCCATTAAGTAGTTGTTAAGATCATTTGACATGTACCATAATGGCGAAACCTTCAAAACTGCTGCACACTACCACTAATTAAAAGCATCTGT